ATTTCTTGTAAAGAAAAAAGATATTTATTGTGTGGGTACTTTTTTGCTGATTTTGGCTTTATTAGGTAGCTGAAAGAGAAAGTGCTTTTGTTAGAGAAGGTTTGTTCTGCTTTTTTCAAAAATTAGAAGATTTGTCCTTGAGGACTAAGGTTGAGAAAACCTTGTACACGGTTACACTAACGGAGGAGGCCTGCGTGTCTGGGTTCATGATATGCGGGAAGCTGGCTTAAAAGCCCTCTCCTTACACACACTGGCTTCCAGGGAGCCGACTGCCATCCCACGTGTAAACGCTGAAATTTTCAGTGATTACACAGTTAAATGGATTTTAACATTCCTGTTGAAGGCTACAGATAGAACAAGGAGGAGGATTTTAACAATGCAAGCGTCAAGGAAGTGATTGGATTTTCATTCTTGAACAGGTATCAACAGTTTTTAACTACAATATTTGAGAGAAGGATTTATCAAGGATTCAGCACCCATTCCTTTAATTAAGGGAAAAGAGAACTTCCAGAACACATCTGTAACCTGCAGAGGGTGTATGGGATGGTGGATTGGGGGATGGAGGGGAGGAGAGAGGTGAGAGTGTGCATGAGAGCTTTCAGGTTGCCTATACATCAGAGAAACAAATAAAATATAAACCAAATTTCTATTTTTTGCAGGGTACCTTTAACTTATCTCACTCAGTAGTGGGCCCAACATCACTTCCCCATTGCCTTTGTCAGACATGAGGAGAATGGAATCTTGGAAGTTATATGCTGAAGCTATGCAACACCATGACCCTTCAACCTGGAATAATATTCTCTATATGTTTTAGATAAGGAATACATACAAGTGAAAACCACACACATTTCCAAATCTGTCTGTCTGTCTGTCCCCTGCCTCGCCTCCCCCATCATGGGGTTATAATTAGATTAGTTTCATGCAGAAGCTGACATGGACATGGTTACCTTCAAAATATGTACTGGTACAGTCCTCTCAACTGTGAATACAATACAGTACGTGGTACATACAGTACTTTACATCCCAAGGCTGAACTGACCATCACTATTAAAGCTCAACACCATTCTGGAAAGGCCTATTTTTCCATTAAGGGCTCATGGAGTGGAGTAAAACTACTATGTAACCTCAAGTCTCTGGATTGTCAGTGTCAACATCTGAGGGAAACGGACTCAAGATTTGCAACTCAGCAGCACCTTGTGTTTGGAGGAGGCTACTGTGCACTGCTCTTGTTCTGCTGCTCATGGCATGAGTTCTCTACATTAGCGTTTCTCAATCATTTTGATAGCAGGGAATGGCTTTCTGCCTTCTTAACGTGCGACAAATCTCAAGGACTGGCACTAATCCACAAACTGATCCTTTTGAAACACACCCTGCCTTCCTCTGATCAAGTGAAGGGAGCCTCCTTCCTGATGTCATCCTGACCCTATGTGCATGCCACTTTTTCTGTCCAATTTCCTTCTCATTTGCATGAGTTTGGAAGTTTTGGTGGGGTTGTTTGGCCCTATTTTATTGTTCACACACACTGCTGTCCTTTCAGTTAGAAGGCTGCAAGCAACAACAGGTGAATATTTAACTGGAGTCCCTAGGTTCCAAATCATACTACTGTCGTTTATTTCATTGCATGAAGAGTGAGACCATCATAAGGGTTGCAGTTCTCAAGGAGTCACTTCCTGCTTTATGCACTACAGAAATAAAATTTGCTGTAGTAGTAGACAAAACATTCTGTAATGAAGCTGTTTGCCATGCCATAGATCACTTTTCAGTCTTCCCCATGTCCCTCATCGTTAAAAAATACTGGCTTAAAGACAGAAGGAAGCTTTCTTTCCCCCTATATCCACAGCCATCTCTTGCTGGAATAGAGTGCTCTTGAGTTTCAGTTAGTAAAATACAGGCAGTCCCCGACTTACGTCGGATCCGCAGTTACGAACGGGGCCCTCTCCCTGGTCTCCAGCAGACCAGGGAGAGGAAGCAAAGCGCCAGACGCGCGTCTGGGCTGTCTGCTGCCCGCGTGTTCCGCCGCTTTGCTCCCCGTCCTTCTGGTCTGCAGACCAGGGGGACGGGGAACAAAGCAGAGCAAAGCGGCGGAACACGCGGGCAGTGGACAGCCCAGATGCGTCTGCAGACCAGGGGGACGGGGAGCCAAGCAGATTTGCTTTCTCTCCCTGGTCTGCTGGAGACCAGGGAGATGGGCCCCGTTCGTAACTGCGGATCTGACATAAGTCGGATCCACGGAACTCAGGGACTGCCTGTACTCTATCAATTTTACTCAGTAATGTGTTTGCTTCACTGATGTAACCATTTTTGCCCATGCACAAATAGTTACATGTGGTAAGATTCTTATTGGACAGTGTGATGGGACTTGACTCACCACACTGCTGCCTCCTACTGGCCATCGTGGGGCCACCCTGGGGATTAATTCTGCAGGTCAGTATGCCCTCTCCCAAAGGTGCCTCCCCTCCCAACTATCCCAGTGACTCATTTAATCCACCTCAGTCCACAAGGAAATCCCACCCATCAATAGCTATACCCTCTTCCCATAGGGCAGTGTGGCCAGCAGCCAGAGTCCATAGTCACTGGGGTATAGACCCCCACTTGGGGTTGGAGAGGATGGATTAGGGAGACTGATTCCCATCCTCTCCACAGCCGCTGTTGAAACTGATCAGTTTCAGCAGCGGCTGAATCTGGACGCCAGTTCCGACTTACATACAGATTCAACTTAAGAACAAACCTACAGTCCCTATCTTGTACGTAACCCGGGGACTGCCTGTTTACCTATTACCCCATAGTCAAAAAAAAACTTCCCACATTACCGTGACTTACCATAGCCATGGTAAGAGTTAGGAATGTTCAATTGTGGTTAATCAGCTAAATGAGTAGTTGATGGAGTTTCCATCAACTATTCAGTCAGACAATAACGGGTGGGGAAGGGGACTGCAGAGCCACAGCAGGGTTAGCTCCCGGGCCCAGAAGCTAACCCTGCTGTAGCTCTGCCTTTTAAACATATTAAGAGCTGCTCATCTTGTAATACAACTAAAGGAAGAGGCGCAATGTGGGGGACCAAGCATGAGCTGGAAATCAGCTGATTCCCAACTTGTACCTGGTGCCCATGCTATAACTCTGCCTCCCACAGCAACAGTGCTGGCACCAGCTCCTGCTCTCCCCCTTGTTTCTTCTCTCTGAGAGAGGCAGCAGGTGGTAGGGGATGGTAGGGGGTGGTAGCTGCTTACATCCCTAATAGAAGTATGATAAGGAGTCAATGAAGGTGTGTGTGTTCAGGAAGTTAACTCATGCTCTTATTCAGGTGTTGTCTCGTGATTCGTTTGAACTTTTGATTAATCCAAATATAAGTAGTCAACTATTCAGTAAAGTTCGGTAAAAAATGGCCAATTATTTTCAAGCACTAGTTTATTAGAACAGTAATAAAAAATGTCATGGTCCCCAATAAGATTAGCCTTAAATGAATATACTTCATTTAAAAAGAAAAAGTCAAATATCTGAGTTATTTTAACTGAGAAAAATACAATATAAAATGAAGTTCTAATCCTCCTCCCCACCAAAAAAAATGACACCATGCTACAATCAAAAATAGGCTAGCACCTATATCAGGATATTTTTTAGTGTTTATTATTTGACAGTCAAATATTCAGCAAGTAACTGACCAGTCAACCAACCTGGCAAGCTTACATCCACACACAAAATTCACTCACCGGAGTCTACCTGTGCTTTCAACTCAGGCTAGCTTGCCTGTCTGAAGGTCTAGACAAATTCAGGTGTCGGTTTTTAGTCAAGATGGTAACCCACCCACTGTGCAGTGGGGACAGATTAACTCATTTGAGTGCATAAATTCTCCAGTGCTTTGCCACAATTTGACATCCTTCTCCCCAGATCTGACCAACCAGTGACAAATTATCCCACAACTGTCTCATTCAGAGAGGCTCAGCTTACTGTAGCACAAAGAACATGGGATAAGACCCCACAAGTCTCTGAATCACACAGGTAACTGGGAGCATCAGTGATAACACAGTAACTTGGTTATAGCTCTGTACTGTGGCTGCTCATTTGTAGGTAAAGACAACTTGGATGCCAATCCCACAAGTTGATTCTGCATTGAAGATATCCTTGCTATCAAACCAACAAAAAGCATTAAACTGAGGCAGGAAAAATTACAGCCCATAGGCAAGATCTGGCATATACCACAATACTCTAGGACCACCAATGTCCTATGGCTCAATGGGACCATGAGGCAGACTCCCTGCCTGCTGTGTTCCTCATGTTCCGCGCAAAGCAGCCACATGCTAGGGCCACCGGGTCTCTTCACTGAACACCCAGTAAGGTTTCCAGATGGAGGTAGTGCATGGAGACTCTGAGCATGCCGCACAGAGATGCACATGCTGGCCCCAGCAGATGGATACTTTGATCGGCATGTGGGGGCATGGCAGGCGAGGATCCTGGCCAGAGCTTGAACCTGACACTCCAGCCCTTCCTATACCCCAACTCCCTGCCCCAAGTCACAACTCAAAGCCTCTGCATCATGCCTCTTGGTCACAATTCCCTCCCAGACTCTGCACATCCTCCTACACCCCGCTTCCAGGTCAGAATCCTCTCCTGTACCCAAACCCTTTCCCAGATCCTGCACCTTCATCTACTGTCCCAGTTTACAACCCCCTCCTTCACCCTCCTGCATCCCAATCCCTTATCCAGAGCTCCCTCCTGGTGCCCAATTTTCATCCCAGGCCCCCACATACTCTTCATTAATATAAAAGTGTAGCCCTGGACCACTCATGAAATTCTTGGAGTGGCTCCTTATCAAAACCTATTGCTCACCCCTGCACTAGACAGTCCTGCAGCAGGCAGAGGTAGCACTTTGATAAAAAGCTTCCCTGATAACAGCTCCTCCACACAGAGTACTAGCAAAAAAGATCAGTGAAAAGAGAAAAGAACCAGAAGATGTAATACTGAAATCACAAAACTGTCAACATTATGTATCAGTGGTTCCCAACCTGTAGTCCACAACTGTACTGCTGGGGTCTGTGGGCCCAATCTTTACTTCTCTTTTTCTTCTTCCCCAGGGAAGCAGGGTCTGTGAAATTTTAATAGATTAAAAAGGCATCTGTATGATCGAAAAGGCTTGGAACCACTGCCTTATATGAAAAAGGAAATGTCAAAAGCTCCCTAGAAATGTAAAGTCCTATTATATTATTTAAGTCTGAAAATGGTGTGCCTACCATATTCATTAAAATGTTAGTTTACTGAAGCATTATAAAAAGATTTTATTAAATGAATGTGCCACACCCCTTAGCAAAATGCCATTTTAGAGAGATGCATTTGACTATTTCTCATGGAGGGAACTCTAGGGTGCCGAAAGAAAATCAAACTCACTAACTGTCACACTGCAGATTTATTTTCTTCTGTCTACATATCATGGTAGGTGGAGAAAGGCTAGCATTCAGCCAAGAAGAAAAATACTCAAAAGCAGTTACTGATTGTACTATTTCTTTAACAAATATACAGTATTTCCTATAAGGTTTAAATGATTAGAATTGCTACATCAGTTAGCTTTTTACAAAACTAGCATTAACCTTGAAACGTACTGCTAAAGCCTTTAGCCTCCTATTTCTCATATACACAAACTGAAATACAAATCCTACTTCCCATCTTTAAATCTGTGGGGTGTTTTTGCACCCTCATATTACATAAATAGCCTTAAACTAAGATTTTTTCCCAATTTACGTTTGTGTGTGCACTTGTCAGCGAAACTAATATGCAAAGAAAATATTTGCCTTTCTAGAGGGGTAGAGTTATTTTAAACTATGGAAGCTTTTTGCTTAGGTTATATGTAATGAAATTAGAGGAAATGCTAATTGTAAGCACCCATGTGGTACATTCCTTGTCATTTAAAATGTAGGCTCATAAAAACCACCTAGAACACCCTTGTATATTTGAGAAGTTACATCATGTTTTAGAATGAACGCCTGCAAAAAGTATGCTTATAAGCCTCATGTCTATAAAGAAACATTTTAACTTCCATCTTAATTTTGTTTAATTATTATGCATGGATTAAAAAAGTAATCACCGCCTCTGTCAAAATTCAATGCGCTAAGTCAAATGCTGAAGTTAGAGCCCTAAAGAAATTGCATCATCTTATGCATTATTGGAGGGTAAAGGAAATACGGCAAACAAAGTAGAAAGATTGACACAAAATGTAATGTTCAAAAATAGCAAAAAATGTTTACCATTTAAAATGATCTATTAGACAAACACTAATTATCTGCATAATTTCCTGCAAGATAGTAGCTACACTCTGCTTTTGATTTTATTGTCATACATTTCAATATTTAAAAAGGGAATTCTAAATAGTAAATATTTTTCAGCTATCATTTTTATATTTCTAAATTTATCCTAATTTTACAAAGTATTTCCTGGATCACCAATAGAGGTCACTAAAACCTGTACCTAGGCTTGTCCAAATAAGTGGGGGGAGCAGAGTAAAATTAACAACAAAAGGTATTTCTAAAGGTAGTCATTCCCATTCAATTAGCAAAATCTAGTCCTGCCATTCATATAGTTTATCACTTCAAACATAATAGCTCTGTCATAGACATATCCAAGAGCACTTGTATAAGAATTATATTAGCCATATATCAAGTTGTGCTGTACTATTCTGCATAGGAAGCTGACCATACAAATCAGTACAGAACAGAATTCAATAATTTTTAAACTTTTATTGTAAGGCATGGGATAGTAACTGGGGGGTGAACGTTTTATTCTGAATCTTGGATGGATTGATTTGCCATCTTATGGACGATACCTGAAACTTAATTCTTTGGAGTGGGTAATGTCTATTTAGACAGCACCACCTCACAACAGTGCTATGAACAAGCACCTTTGGGTGCTAAACATAATATAAATTAATATGACCAGATCAGTGAGACAGAACAGATGTGCTGGAAGGATGCCAAGTGTTAACATCAATATTCAGTTTTAAAAAACTACTCTTCAGTGACTCTCACGTATTAGTAAGAGAAGTTTAGATATTAGTTTGCTTGGCTAACTTCTTACCTGTTCAGTACACATTACTGTGAAACACTCCCTTTAAAAAGGGCAGGTTTAATCTACCTTTAAATGTCATTTGGATTCACTCCAGTATTCACAACTGTGTACAGGTAGTAGTCATTATAGTAAGCAAATTCTGCTGCAGCAGGGAGGCAAAGGCAGGCAAGTCCTGGGGAGTGCAAGAGCGCCGAGCTGTGAGTGTTTATGTCCCCATAGGCCGTAATTACACGCTCTCTGAATGAAAGCTGCCCAGGTCAGGGCGTAAGGCCTCGCGCCGGTCTTAGAGGCATCTAGCAAGGCCAGGGTGCTCTTGCCCTGCTAGGCTTCCCCAGACCCACCTGTGAGCCCAGCAGCGCCCTCAGCGCGCGGCTTGAAGCCCGTTCCCAGGCGAGCCCCATGGCTCCAAGGTCAAACCCAGCATCCCCAGCCCAGCGCGGGGCGATGGGGAAGGTTCCCCCGGCAAGGACACGGCAGGGGGGTCCCCCAGCCCGGGCGCTTGCGGAGAGGGGCGGCCACACGCAGCCTCTGCCCGGCGCCCCG